AAACAATGAAGTTATGGATGAATTGTTCACAATAAGACCACAACATGAATTTAGAAAATAGTCATGGGTGAAATTTAATGTCATGCCAAATTTAGGCTTTATTAACTTTTGCTTGACTTTTAGCCCTAAAATACTAAAACCAAAACTAAAATGTCCAGGCGTTTAAATGATTAGATAAAAATTCTTGATGACACAGATTTATATAGATTGCACTAGCTTATGAACCATTAAAGAAAACCTAGAAAAAGTGCACCGAAGAAATATATACATTATGGTTAACTCATTTTCATGACTTTTAGGCCTTGAAATCAAAAAGTTACCCGATATTTCCGAACAGAAATACCAAAAATAATAATTATTTCAGTCAATTATCAAGACTGTGACTGTGCACATGACTCAAACAATTAGCATGTATGTGACTGTTTCTTGAGATTAAACGTCTGTGCAAACACACCTTTTCATGTGTATATGCAATTTTACATACAGGGAAACAACTAAATGCAAAGTTACATGTAAGCAGATAAATCTGTTTAGTTCTAATTTGTGGTTACTGTTGACATCTGAAATTAAAAAGTCCAAAATCATCCATTTTCTTCTTTTTAAAATTACTAAATAGATAAGGATCCAGAATATATATATATATATATATATATATATATACATACATACAGTTAGTTAGCTAGTATTTTTTACCTAATCAAAATAACCCAACTGGAGTTTGATTGAGATTAATTGGAATGCACAATGAAAAAACATGATTTTTGAGTTATCTGATTTTGCAAATAAACTCTTCATTCATATATATATTTATTTATTTATTTTATATATATATCATACATATATACTGTATCTATATATATTTTTTTAAGCTACACCTGTTTATTGTAGTAATAAGCAATACAAATAGGTCAGTTTGAACTAGTTTGGCGTATTATTCTTTAGGATATTTATGACACATCTCAATGTGTATGTTGGATACACGTGCTGTGATTTTGTCCGATGATAACCTGTTGTTTTATCATCATTTCAGGCTGTTGTTTCAGGCAGTCGCTTCAATGCTGCTGGAACAACAAATGCAGAAAGAATGATCTGAGGTAATGCGGGGGTGTGATCACCCATCCCGTATCTTCTGTCTTCCCAAACAATTCCACATCAATGACATCATCCTGATAATTACGCCACACCAGTGCAATCACTCAGTAAATGTGTACAAACCATGACAACATCTTGACTGGCTTTACAACCGTCTGAAATTCTGCCTGTGAGTGGACTACACTGAGCAGGTGGAGTAGAAAAACCAAACCGCTGCTTTTGATTGGTCTTTGTTCTTCCTGTGTTGATGGAAAAAGTGACAGTAGTTGCCCAGCCACTAAGCAGCTGGCGTGGGCCGTCCTCTTCTCACCTGACCTGATGCAGGCAGCTGAGGAGGTGAGATGGTCTGGTTAGACATCTCAAGCCACTAGCAGACGTACTGTTGTCAGAAATGGCAGCTGGAACCAAGCAACTTCAGAGCGTCATCAACACCAGCCCTAATTAAGTTATTAATTTGGGATGTGTTTTAAAGTCAGCACTAATCCACATTTGCAATGCATCTGATGACTCAACAATAACCAAGTAAAACTTGTGGTTTAAAAGTGCTTTAGACATGCATTTGAGTGTAACTGAGTAGAAAAATGATAAATAAACAACAAAAAAGTAAATTTAAAATAATAAAAACCAAAGACAGGGACTTGGTTCTATGCATCAGTTGTTGATTGGATTTGAGGCCAATGAATGTGAGATTGAGGTGACAGGCATTACATTTTGATAAAAAAAAAAAAAAAAGGATGAATTGCTGCAATAAGTTTAATAACATGCATTTTCATTTCATGCCAACTTTAGATCACTTAACTTTAGCAGCCAAAATAAATAAAAAAACAAATAAATTTTATTGAAATAAATTAACATAAAAAAAAAAAAAAAAGGAAATAAAACTGAAAACTCTGGGAAGGGGAAAAACACCACCACCAACAACAACAACAAAAAAACAATAATAATAATATAATAATGTATATAATAAAATAAAACTTGAATAGCACTGCCATAATGCTTCAAAATATATGCACACATTACAAGAGAGTGAGGGAAAAACCGAATGCGAGTCTTTGTTATATCAACAGCAAAGTTTCTAGAAAAATTACTACATTTTAAACATTTTCTTTAGCATAACATGCACTGAGTCACAATAAGACCAAAGACATGTATTAAGAAATTAAATGTTTTTTTTTTAATACTTATATTAAATGGAATGGTCATGTGCTTGGCATAAAGACAAACATCTGAGATCTAAGACAACTGACCACAGGACAATGTCAAGACTATAAAGTAGATCTCAGTAAACAAACCGAACCAGAGCGAGTCAGACTCAAAGAGAGATGATCAAGCTTCACTGCTCCTTCAAGCATCTCTCCTCAGAGTCTGATATCAGCGAGGACTCTGGGTTCAGATGTCCACAGGTATGAAGGTCTGGACAGATCGCTTCTCTGCCGAAGTCTCAGCTCTCAACACACTCATATATCTGACCGCACAAGTCTGCACTGCTTCATTTAATACTAGTATTTAATTCCAAGCGCTGCCAACGACATGTTCACTCACTGACAATTAGCAGTATTGACAGACTACTTGAGTTTAATACAAACAGACAAACTGCTGTATTGAGGAATTGAACAGACAAACTCACACTCCTCTTTTAACCGGTCACAACGGATTCATGTTTCAATGGCACACATATCCAGTTAGAGCACTGCCAACACGTTACATAAACAACATAACTACTCTCAATGAGACTGACGCAACACTGTGAGAAACGTCAGCGATGAAGCTTCTCTTCCTCTTCCTCATGCACACATCACATTGTAACATTACATTGGATTCTCTGACTCACTTCCCAGAATTCTCTGAGGCAACAACCACACACAAGTTCAGTGTTACTGTGCAGGACAGAACAGAGAGCAGAGATACGATCAGACTGATCTGACAGCAGAGGCTTCAGATTCTTACACTGCAGTGTTTCCCCTGCCATTATATTAGGGGGGCGGCCCGCCCCCCAAACGGCACCCCCCGCCCCCCTTGAAGGTCAAGTTAATTTTATTTAATTATATTTTCTCTATAGCGCCAGATCACAACAGAAGTCATTTAAAGTTACCTTTCCTATAGAACAGGTATATACCTTGTTCTTTTATTAAGCAAACTAAATAGCCTTATGTTATTTATCTTATTTACACGATGGCATGTCATTTCGGTCTCTACGTTATGGTCGCGCTCTCTGCATCACCAACAGCGCGTGCACGCACACACACACACACACACACACACACACACACAAAAGTGAGCCCACTAGTATTTGTAAATATTAAGCCGCAAAACGATTCATATTTAAATATGAATTCTGCGTGTCTCTGTGTTAATGAATGGCGCAGACACGCGGTTTTGTGTAGTACTCGTACTAAAACGCTCGTGAGCTTCCGGTGATATTAACGTCTGCCGTCTCACTACATGAGGACATAAATACATGAACAACATCTCCAGAACTGCTCTGAGAGAGCCACTTCATGAGCATTTGAGTAAAACTATCATCATATCATACACACACAGAAATGTAAAGGTATTCACGGCAACCCGTCAAAATAAAAGTTCGGTTTAACTTCAGGGCATTGGCAGAAATATATTACTATTGTTGAGTAGATTGTACGTAACAGGCTACTACTATACTACTAAAATTATTAAAACCTTATTTTTAAGGAATAAGCATTCAATATTTCTTCAATGTTTTAATTGTAATATTAAATGACCTTTATTTTCCAAAAAATACAATTTGTTTAGTTTTCATTACTTAAAAGATAGATTAAATGAATGTTTTATGCCTTAAAACAAAATGTAAATACACAGCACAGAATTTCTGAGCAAAAAATCATAAGGCTATTGTAAGAATAAATGAAACTTGTTTTATGCTTTCAAATAATTAGACATGCTAAAACAGAATTTGGTTACAATAAACATAAGGTTGGAAAAATAAAACAAACATCTCACAAACAAACACATCTCTGTCCATGACAGTCTTATGACTGCACAGTTACGTAATGTATCACACTCATCTCAATCAAGATAGCTTTTGTATGGCGTTTCACACAGCTGTACCAATCTACAGAGTCTAAGATAAGAAAGTACCTCATGAAAGTGGTCCACACAACCCCTAAGACCTGGATCATGTCTTGCTGACTGCAAAAACACCTCAAATATGTGTTTCAGCGTGGCGCTGTGATCACTGCATTCTTTACAATAGCTGACGAACCGCATACCACAAAAGCCAGTGGCCAGATGATGGGCCACACCTGTGTTTGACAGTGATCGACAGCGCCTGTCAATCCAGTTCTAATGCTCATTTGACAGACAGCTGCAGGCCACGTCACAGAGAAATGGGATGCCACTAAGTTAAAAGTCTGATATTGGGCCGATGCCAGAATACTGCTGATTTGGCAAGAGATTCGACCCTACAGAAGACAGACTGAAGCATATGCGATCCAGCTGCGAGAAACACGTACTTTTGTAGGTCAAAACCCATAAACGAGTTGCATTTTAGCACTTTCAGTTCCATCCTCCTGAGGTTAATGGGTTTTTTAAATGTGTTTTTGGTTAAATGCCTAAACTCATCTACTCACTGGTTGCTTTCACAGCCTCATTATCAGGGAAAATCTTTTTAAAGACCGAAAGACTTGTCTGAAGCTTAATTGTAGTGATGCTGAAGTCATGTGACCATGGTGTACTTCGTTTATAGCCTACTTTTAGCATTTTACTTCTGGTGATCGTATTTAGGCATCAAAATCCATAAAGTTGTGTTCATTTGTGAAAATTATCATGATGAACAAAATGTGTAAGAATCAAACTTTTGTTAGTCACAGAGCTTATTTTCTACAATAATCCTAAAACCAATGAAAAATCCTACTGTGTTTTTGTGGAGGGAATCAGAGTGATGTCAGAGTAGTGATCCAGCCTGATCTTACCTGAACGGTTTTCTTGATTCTGTGAGAGGGTCCGGGATACTCTGGAGAATACAAGTCTGTCAGGAACAGGGAGTTGATGAGTGTAGACTTCCCCAAACCTGATTCTCCTGCAGGACAGACAACAAGAGGTTACGCCAGAGATTTCAGGACGTGACTCACTCATCACTTCTGTTGGACGGTGAACAATGAGTGAGTGAAATTTGAGTCTGCAGATTTCCACAGAATCTGAACAGCCATCATTCACACTGTCTCCATTTGCATGCCTGTTCATTTAACATTTTCGGCAGCTTGTGGCACCTGCTAAGGCTATGGTCCTATGAAATGCATTTTATTTTTCCCAGATTCTGTTTAAATTTTTTTTCAGAAATGTTGTGTTTCCCATTTTAATATTTTCGAAATTCTGTTTTAATAGTGTAAATTTTAAAGGGACAGTTCACCCAAAAATGAAAATTATCTCATGATTTACTCATCCTTAAGCCATCCTAGGTGTATATGGCTTTCTTACGGATGCAATCGAAATTATATAAAAAAAATGTCCTGGCTCTTCCAAGCTTTATAATGGCAGTGAATGGGTGTTGAGATTTTGAAGCCCAAAAAAAAGTGCATCAATCCATCATAAAAAGTGCTCCACACGGCTCCGCTTCTGAAGTGAATAGATGCATTTGTGCAAGTATCTATAAACCGTAATCTCTAGCTTCCGCTAACTGTTGTGCGTGTGTTCACGAGAGAGTGGCGTTCAGCGGATGACGTAAGACGTAGGTGTAGCGTAAGCTCCGGTGAGAAGTGACGAATGCAGAAGCGCAGAGAAGAGAGCAAAACAAAACACCGGTCACAAATTAGAAGTACAAAACTAAGATTTGTAAAGAAACATGTGGGATGATTTCCATGGTTTTCCTTTGTTGTAAACAAAACTTGGTTCTCATGAGACTAGCATATTCTCACAGGAGCTTAGACTACGTCTTACGTCATGGAACACCACTCTCTTGTGAATGCGCGTACCACAGTTAGCGGAAACTAGAGATTATGGTTTATAAAGTTTTAAATGTGGATATTTTTCTTACACAAATGCATCGATTTACTTCAGAAGGCCTTTATTTATTTAGAGCCGTGTGGAGCACTTTTTATGATGGATGGATGAACATTCACTGCCATTATAAAGCTTGGAAGAGCCAGCACAATTTTTAATATAACTCTGATTGTATTCATCTGAAATAAGAACTTCATATACACCTAGGATGGCTTGAGGGTGAGTAAATCATGGGGTAATTTTCATTTTTGGGTGAACTGTCTCTTTAATAATTTCATCAAATTTTAACAGTAATGGGGCCTTTTTTCCATCTCCAAAATCTGCTTAAATTCATCTGGATTTTATACAAATTTTTCAAAAAATTGTGGTAATCAAATTAATTCATAAAACTTTAACAACGGAATAATCTTTTAAAATGTAAAAAAATAACTTTACATTAAACCAAATTAAGTCAAATTAAAGGGATAGTTCACCCAAAAATGAAAATTCTGTCATTAATTACTCACCCTCGTGTCGTTCCAAACCCTTAAGACCTTTGTTCATCTTCAGAACACAAATTAAGATATTTTTGATGCATTTCGAGAGCTCTCTGACCCTCCCATAGACAGCAAGGGTACTAACATGATCGAAGCTCAGAAACGTAGCAAGGAGATCAGTAAAATAATCCATGTAACATCAGTGGTTCATCCATAATGTTATAAAGCTACGAGAATACTTTTTATGCGCAAAGAAAACAAAAATAACGACTTTATTCAACGATTCGTCTCCTCCGCATCACCCTGTAGTGCCATTTTGGAGAGTATCACATACGTAAACAACATATGCAATGTATGTACGCGGATACGTTGTTTATGTTCAGATCAAAGCGTAAACATCGTAAACAGCGTATCTGCGTACGGTGCTGCTGACACAGAACAGCATACGTTGTTAACATGCGTTAATTATACACCAATTTTACTGGATTCAATTAATATGTCCACGTTTTGCTGAAATCATAGGCCCCTATAAGGCCCAGCATTACAAATCTACCAAATTCAGCACTTGGAAAGCCTGAGATGCTGCAGATTTCCAACTTAACTCTAAAAACAGGAAACCAGTCTGGAGGAGTGGCATAATGTGATCAACTCTGACATGAACTTATATGGGGTCGTTCCCTGCCTGCGAGTCTGGGAAAATGCAGACGGCATCAGAAATTTGTGGAATTCCATAAACCACAAGAGAATACAACTATTTAGCTGGATAGATGGAGGGAAATCTAAACAGTCTGAAACTCAGAGTATATGATCAAGTACAAACCAGGAGAAGAACCAGAGGGTGTGCCGAGAACCAAGACAAAGATGATGTTCACAAGACATTATAAACTTTATTAGTGGTGTTTGCAAAGACAAGCATCAATTTCACCACTGCTCATACTTAACCTTTAAACCTTGACTCTTAAGTGTTCAACTTTAGCATGCAACTCGTCCAGCACAGTTTGCGCTATGGCCATGAACAGTACCTAAACTCATCTGGCTTCTTTAGAAAAAGTATGCAGTTACTTAAACTTGATTAAAAATACAGTAAAAATAATAACATTTCAAAATATTACTATAATTTACAATAACGATTTTCTATTGTCATGTATAATAAAATGTCATTTATTCCTGTGATCAAAGCTGAATTTTAAGCATAATTTCTCTAGTCTTCAGTGTCACATGATCCTTCAGAAATCAGTCTAATATGCCGATTTGCTGCTCAAGAAACATTTCTGATTATTGTCAATGTTGAATTCAGTTGCGCTGCTTTATATTTTTGTGGAAACTATGATGAATCTTTGATAAATACAAAGTTCGAAAGGAACAGCATTTATTTGAAACTGAAATCTTTTATAATACTAATAAATTTCTTTACTGTCACTAGCTATGTTTTCATCCACATTTGTATGTGAATTTTGAGTTATCACATAAAAAAAAAAAAAAAAACAACATGCTGGATGGAAATGCCAAGATGTGCAAAAAATTAAAAACTTTAAAAAAAAAAAAAAAAAGTTTAAAGCTCACCTGAGGTGGATAATTTTTATCCAATAAGAAACCATATTTATATTAACCATATAAATGCCTTAGCAACCCCAAAACCACTCAGAGCACCTTAGCATCTTTGTGTCGACTACCTTTACTGAAAACCCAAAATTTTCTTCATGTGCTAAAAAAGGTAACTCATCCCACTCTGTTAAACAAATATATCACTGACATTTGATTTCCACACGCTTCTAGTGCTTCACCACAATGCATAAGCCTCCAACAACAAGTGACTTTATCACAGAACAATTCCTCCAAGCATCAGAGAGCGATTCATCAGCTGGATGCATGGCAACGTGGTTCCTGTAAGGCTTGGAAACAAAGAGGACAGTGTGAAGGAAACTGGATGCATGTTGGCACAGAGCAACGCTGGGCTTCTCTCCTGACCTTTAACAAGTGCCCAACCCTGCTCCACTTCCACAGCACCTAAAACACGGAGAGAACCTTCCAACAAAGAAAAGCTTCTTTCAAATCCTAAATGTTTTCCAGAAGGGCAGGACAACAGTGACCTCACCATCGCAACAGAAACGTCTTCCACTCATTGCCTGGAGAGATGCAAAAGCAATTGCCATCGTTGAGCAGAATGAAGAAAAGCCCTACAGGTTTTATTTTGCTTGCTGAATGTGGTTTTTGAAACAGGCCCGTGGTCTTGTGAAAACAGCGAGTGAAATACAGTCTTCTTTAAAATGTCATTATGAATTAGGGAAACAACAAAAGCAGGCGGCGAGTGGAGGAGCGAAGCAGGCACTGGGATGCACTTCTGCCATTCTCTGGAGTGAAACCAGCGCAGCGGAGAGACCAGAAAAACAGCCACGGTGGAGTTACTGCTGGGAGACATACTGTATGATACTCAATACAGGCCTGCCAGAGTGAAGAATTTCCCTGCTGGAAGAAACTCACAGAAAAAGCTTAAGATCTTGTGGAATCGTAGCTTGCAGGAGTTTTTAATGGTAGCGTAACTTGCAGCTGTTTGAGGAAACTCATTTAGTTCGAATGCTTTAAAGGGATAAATGTCACTCCAAAAATCTATGATTTTTTTTCTACAGTGGAACACAAAGTAGATTGTTATGTCCATACAGTGATGGTGGATGGGAATAAATGCTGCCAATCTCCAAAAAATAAAAATGCTGCTGCAATGATAACGTCATGTCTGTCTTGTTTTGAGTTTTCAAGAACAGTGTCAAGAACTGCACCCATGAGTTGTATGAACTACTTTCATGGTTCTTATATCCTTTTTGCAGCTCCACAGCATCCATTACTGTTCACTTTCATTGTATAGAAAGGACCAATGTGAATATTCTGCTGCTGCTTCTGAGTTCCACCCAAGATTCAAAATTAACAAATGGCAAGAATCTTCTCAACTGTGTATTTTTACATTTTGAATTTATAGTTATGTAGGACAGAAGACCAATCGTAATTTAGTATGCAAATATATTTATGAGACAAACCAATTAAAATTTAGTATGCAATTCAGAAGACCAATTATAGTTCGGTATGCAAATAGATGTAAGAAAGACAAATTGTAATTCAGTATGCAACTAGATGTATGACAGAAGGCCAATCATAATTCAGTATGCAAATAGATGGTAGTTGTTATATGTTGGAATGGTTGTCATATGTTGAATTGAGTAATTGACAACAGATTTTTGGGTGAACTTTTCCTTTAAGTAGTTATGCTCTAAATCACTCCACACAAGAGAGAGAGACATTGATAGATGAACAGAAAGGTGACTATGAGCAGAAGGCTTACTAGAGCTAATTACAGAGTCCTTCATTGAACTCTCCATCAAGAATGATGACAGATCAGGGCTTTCCTGTCAGCCGCCCAAAAATGCAAAACTGCGGTATCTGTAACCCGCCCTGTCTCTGTGCGTTACGAAACTCACTGTTTGTGCTGTGTCAAACCCTTACAGGCCTGCCCTGAGCAGATGAAAAACAACACACAACACACATCCATATAACCGTCTGTATTTCACAACATTAACCATTACTGAACACACTCCTCAAACACTACAGTAAGTTCTGCAGTCGGGGAAATCTAAACAAGAGGCACTGAGTGTTATGGAAAGCCGGAGCAGAGGGAGGTGAGAGTCCTGAGAGTCCACTGAAGCAGCTCAGCCCAAAGCCCACCAGGCGGACCGGCGAGGGTCCGGCTCGCTTCCTTTAAAGGAAATATCCCACAGCTGTGTAAACCAGGAGGGTTTACTCCAGAGGAACTCCCCATCGCATGACAGGGGCGGGGGAGCTGGGAAGCAGGAAAAGCTCGGGACTGCGCTGGGAGGGACAGAGTTTACTACGAACTTCCAAAGAACTTTCACTGGCATGGATAAAGGCAGAACGCAGGAAAGAAGACCTGCTATGTGCTGTCAGAATGAACAATTTAAAGGTTCACCCAAAAATAAAAATTCAGAGAGCTACAGTCTGCAGAAGTAAAGATTTTTTCCGCACACATTACATGGCTCCATAAAATCTGGATTAAACCACTGGAGTCACATGGTTTTTTTTTATGATGCCTTTATGGCATATTTTGAGCGTGAAAGTTTTAATTTCCTAGACTTTCACACTTTATTTTAATATAACCTTGTAACAGTGTAATTATACATTTAAGTACTGAGTAACATTAATTAGCAATAGGGTTTGGTTTAAGGTTATTTGTATGTAATTATGCATAATTTCTTTTATTACTACAGTAACTGCAAGTAACGTGTAATAAAGACACTGTAAAAAGTTTTACCAAAATATCATTAAGATATTAAGATGCTTGTGTTTCTGAATAAATAAAGCAGTATCAATGTCATAAAATCACAAGTCTGTTTTGATTTAAAGGCCAGAAGCTATAGTTTATATGAATAAAAATCACAAACACTTGTAAATTAAATAATTTAATATATACAGATTTATTCTTTAATAATTTTTTTTTCAAATGGATTATGAAAACTTGTATACAATGTACTCTCATTAAAAAAAAATAACTTTTATAATGTTTATTAGTTCTAAAAAAATACGTTTTTGCTCAAAAATATCCTAAATTAAAAACAATTTGTTTATAATTTCCGCACAGGAGAGACTTGGTGGTGTTTCAAAACAAAGGGAAATCGGTATCGGCATCGGTTATCGGTCAAAATTATTTGAAAAATATCAGCATATCGGATATCGGCAAAAATATTAATATCGTGCATCCCTAGTACCCAGCCTTTTTATCATATCAACATTCAACTGGTAAATAAAACCAAAATAAAATTATTGGTGCTGCTGATTACATCCAACCCAAATATAATTCAGTAAGCAAACAGATGTAGGACAAAAGACCAATCATTATTCAGTATGCAATTCAGAAGACCAATAGTTCGTTATGCAAATAGATGTAAGAAAGGCCAATTGTAATTCAGTACGCAAATAAACGTCCAATATTGCAGTCTGTTTACTGGTGGAGTGCAATAAAGGTCACTAGGTGTTTTAAAACTTATCTTAATTTTTGTATACTTTCTTAAAATTTAAGCTTTAAGTTAAAAAAAATACAAATCCAGAAACAGCTAGCACACCTAGGCTAAATGTGTAATGATATCCAAATTATTTAAGGATTATACGTACACTGTTGCTGTACAACCACTGTAAAAACTTAAAAGCAATCAGCAAGTAAAGCTTAAAGCCACTAATCCTTAACACTGATAATAAACAAATCTAAAAAAGGGAGAAGAAAGAAGACGACTTAAATGCCTCTACATCAGCCAAGATCAAGGCCAATCCTTACAAGCAGCTGGTTAATCACTGGTAAATATTGACTTTAACCAGCCTCATGACTCTATCCTACTGTCAGTCAACAGACAAGTCTGAAACCATGGACAACCCCAGTGTGCATCCCACCGAGAGCAGACGAACGGTCTTAAACAACAACATCTGGGTCTTTATCATCCAAAGAGAGAGAGAGAGAGAGCTTGAAGTGTTTAACAGCACTGCACTTCTTCAATTACTATGCCATTCTAATTACACGCTGTACACCAAATTGCCATCTAAAAGCTCACTTCCTGCCCAGTGTGCAGCAGAGGGGGAACTCCAGGGCGTAGCTGCTCCAACACTCCTCCCAAAATCCCATGGAGATGGAATTCTGAAATACTGACAAGTCAGAAACGCAGATTCGGTTCTGGATTGTGAGCAGGATGTGAGGTGACCCCAGGTGGGCATCAGGGCCAGCTTCAGGCTGTGTTGTGCTTGAAGTCTGAAGAGCTGAAAGTGGAGTAAGAGGTAGATACGAGTCCTCAGGCCAAGCTAAATGAATGGGATTACAGGAAACTTCCAACCCACTAGGCCACGCTCACACACACACACACACACACATTCCAAAGGAGGGGAAAAACCCCAGGTCCATGGGAGAATGGGAAGAACATTTGTTTTGAATGCTCATTTCTTCAAGCCCTGCTCTCTCATTCTGTTCTGCCATGTGAAATCCATCACTGATGCATTTCAGCGCACAGCTGCCAGCGCCTGGCATGAAGCGGCCCGCGTGAAACCGTATACCGCTAGACATATGAGCGCATATAATCCACATAGCGCTGGATGCTGGGTCAACAGCCCTCTATTTTTGACCCCGTTTTCATAAATTTTTCACTCAAGCTTTTTTCTGTATGTCACAAACCTCAAAAAGAAATACAATCTGTTTTTAAAGGGACAGTTTACTCAAAAATGACAATTCAGGCATCATTTATTTGGCTTGAAGCCATTCCAGCCCATATGACTGTGCTATGGAAGCCTGTTTCTGCCACTGAATAAAACAACTGAAAAAAGTCATTGCGACTTTCCATATCACAATTTTGAGTTTTTTTCTCGCAATTGCAAGTTTACATCTCGTAATTCTGACTTTTCTCTAAGAATTGTGCAATATAAACTCACAATTGTGAGCTATAAAGTCAGAATTGCAAAATATAAACTCACAATTGCGCAATTCTGGCTTTTTTTCACGCAATTCAGATTTTTTTTCACAATTTTAACTTTGTAACTGCAATTGTGAGTTTACATCATGCAATTCTGAGAAAAATAGGCAGAATTGTGAGGAGTAAACTCACAATTGCGAGAGAAAAAAAGTCAGAATTGTGAGATAAAAAGTCACAATTACCAGAAACAGGCTTCCATACTTTCCTGCTTTTGTGAAACATGAAAGAAGAAATTTAGCAGATTGTTCATGCTGCTCTTTTCTATGCAATGAAAGGGAATGAGGACTGTCCAGCTATTACATTTTATTGTGTGATCCACGGAAGAAGTCATACTGGTTTTAGGTGAGTAAAATGATGACTAGTTTCTTTTTTGGGTGAACTATTTCTTTTAATGGTCTATAAAAAGTTTGAAAATAAAGAAAAGGTCTATTAGATATTGCAAAAAGGCCATTGCAGGCTTTAGTTATCAGTGCCACATGAGCTTTCATTTAAGGTAAAAAGAGGAATTCAATGGCCAGCAGTGGGATAAACAGGACAGAAGATACTCACCGACGACCATGAGAGTGAACTCGAAGCCCCTCTTCACAGACTTTCTGTACACTTGGTTGGGGAGATTTGCGAATCCCACGTACCCCTCAAGGTTCTTCTGTTGCTGTAGACCAAAACCAAACACAGTCAATGGCTTTAGCAGGCATGACTGACAAAACACTACAAATGAGAAACACGTAGGCGGCCATCTGTCACGACTGCACACGGTTACTGTTAACACCTTCATGAATCTTCAGAAACATTTGGTTTGACACTCAAATAACAGCATAGAAACATGGCTATAATAATAATGCATGGGCTTTTTTCAAATTAGCCTACTTAACATGCTAGCTACCACACAAACCACATGGTCTGAGGTATTATTCATGTTTTTAGCATGAATAAAGTGGGATGCACAGTGTGGGACACTAAAGTTTAATACTTAGAATTATGGATTTAAACAAACCATTGACTCTAAATATGAGTGTTTGTAACAGCCGTAAAACACCAATTCTAATATCTAATACTAGATTTTGAGCTAATTAGCAGCACAGGCTCCAGATTTTAGAGATCTTTTGAGGAGCTGAACAACATATCCATTTGTAGTTTGTCCAGGCGTTTGAAATGACTATGCATACTTACTGCTACTTTGGAGAGCATTCAGATCATGTTGTTCCACAGATCGATGGATGAATAGATGAAGAGGTGATCAGATTGCACCAGGCAGGGAGAGAGGCATCCACATACACAAAATAAAACACAAAGAGACAGAATGAGACAAAGATAAGTAACAGCTGAAGTACATTAAGAGGTCTGCAACTCACTAAGAGCTTCAACAAAACCATTGGTCTGTCAATCCAACCAATGAGGACAAAACCAGTGTTATTAACATCCATCTGAGGTGAACCAATTACACGTGATCAATCAAACTACATTCAAATAGTCACATTACTACAGGTGTAAATGACCAATAAGATATGGACACTACTTGAGTTTAAGAAAGAAAAGATTCTGTAAATATCAGTCTATTTTAGTCCTAATACCAAGCCTGTAGTGTTTTCCCAATGCTGCACGACCAAACCACTTCTCTAAACATACAGAATTACAGAAAGGCCAGAAATGGGGCTTTAGCGCTAGACTTTCACAGTGCTCAGGCTGCCAGTAAAATGGACTTAATTGAAAAATCATCTCACTGAATGAACCAGGCCTTCCCTGAATAGCATTTTCTTTCTGCTGAAACAGCAAATCATCAAATGCACGGATCTGTGATTGCAGCACATAAAAACCCCAACTCATTTGACTATCAATACCTTCATGTTATTCTGTTAATTCTGTTAATAATGAATGATCAGTTAATTAATTAAATATTATGCATTATATTATTTAGCATTATATAGCCTAGTCTTATAAAGTCAGAACAGATCAACATTTATGCTATAGTTATTGTTCATGTTAATCACATTTTCATAACATCGGCAAATGGTTCAAAGACTAAAAAAGGGAGTTTAAGCATCAAAACAATAAAAGTTTAATAGAGCTTTAAATGTATTTTTGCCCCAATACATTAGAATGTTTTTTTAATTTTACAGAAGACACCAACTAAAATGTCTTTCAGTGTAACAATAGCTCAATATAACAAAAAATCTTGTCAAGCATATTTAAACCTAAAATCAATGCATGACATTAAAAGACTATTACAGCCCCCAAAAACTAGTTAATTGTCATTCTAAAGCTTTACCAATCTTTGCCACTGTCCTTCAAACCACTAGGTTTTACCCAGTTGTCAGCAAGAAGTTTTTAATCATTTAGCTAAAATATTACAAAATTTAGAATGATCAGTTTTTCTTCTATATATTTTAATAAGTGCAGGTCAGACTCAGAATACGCATGTTGTTTCATTTTTACATATCTGTTAAACTGAATGACCATGGGACATTTCAGCTAGGGCTGGGCGATTTTTCCGATTCATTGGAATTGTATGTTTTGCCACGATTTTATTTTTTTAGAAATCAAAGAATATCGCGATTTTGAATAAAAATATTACCAAACGTTAGAATTAGACACTTTGACAATATGCCAATGATAACAGTAAAGAGAAAAGTACTGTACAACCGCATGTCGGTGCACGTGATTAATCGCTCACGTGTGACGCGCTCATATCACGAAGTGCCATTCACGCGGAATACGCTTTTGTGTTGAAAAAGATGCGACGCGGGCAGAGGAATAGGAAAAAAAATGCAAGAAGATGCGAGTTGAACGTCTTTTAACTTGAGCGCAGCGTTTTTAGAATGCTGTTTCATGCATGAGAAGTGAGCGCAACAGTCAAAGGCGTCCATGTTTACACAGAAAAAAACAATGGAAAAGCAGCGCAATCGAATAAAAAACCTGTAAAGAACCACTAGGCCTACTGTATGTCTGATATTTCATGTTTTTATCATGGTGACAGGATGAAAGCTGCTGTTCAATGTTTTTACAGAACAATAGTCTACTGGTGTTATTGTTATACCTTGTCATTCTGAATTTGAATTACCTTGACTTTTGAGAATTTTTTTTTTTTTTAAAGCATCTTCCTCGTATTATTTCCGAACATATAATATGCATAAGACAAGTTTGTACAAGATGTAGTTGTTCATGCATCTTTTCTGCAATTTCTGCTAAATGTAGTCATTCAGTGATAATCACGTTCACATAGGGCTGGACGATATGGCCAAAATTTATATCACGATATATTTCTTAATTTCGGTCGAGACGATATAATTCCGATATCGATATGAACACTATTAAAAAAGCCTCATAAAAATGGCCAAGAACGGCCACAACAGATGTCTGTACCTACAAACTTATGAAAAATTAATTTGCCAACTCTATGAAACCTACTCCTATAAAACTATATAATATTTTAGGAAAAAAATGGCGCAAATAAATAAATGTTCACCTCTTATTGGTATTTAGCCTTCATACAAACAAGAAATGTGAAATCACTGTCAAATAAATCTCAGACTCTCCTTATTAATATTAATATTAATATTTTTTACTTCAAACTATAGGCTAACATACCAGTCAAAAGTTTTTGAACAGTAAGATTTTTTATGTTTTTTAAAGAATTCTCTTCTGCTCACCAAGCCTGCATTTATTTGATCCAAAATCGCGATACATATTGATATTGAATTATTGTCCAGCCCTACGTTCACACAATTCAAAAATACAACCACATTATAATCAATTTTACATCTTATGAGAACCAATGCCATTTAACATAAAGTGCATTTAAATGCACTTTAAATGATCGTTTTCATTGGAAATAAAGCAAAAATTCAACTTCCAATTCCTAGCCTAATCTGCCAAGTCAAACAAATGTTTCCTTTTCAGGTGAACGATCCCTTTAAGACAAATTATTACTGCATTTATGTTGCTTGTCTTGGAGATTTTGTCCTCTCTTACTCTATTTTAACCACCCACACAATGAATAAGCAATGCTCTTTCCTGAAACTACAAATGAAAGTCTGTTACAAATATCCTGCACCACTTCCTACTGATGTTATCGTTGGGTGTTCTTCTAGAGGGCTGGTGTGAGGTGTGAACACATGAGTACACGCAGAGGAAGTCTGATCTCACGGGGGGAAACTGAGAGGACGTATATGTTCCTTCTTCCAGGTTAAACGCCTGTCAAAGCCAAGACGCTCAGCATATTTGAAGGGGAACATCTCAGTGAACCATTACAGTAAATGCTCTGATGCAAATTTGGATGGTCTAAACAACACACCAGCAAAAACTGAACTAAAACCTACATTTCCCTGTGGTGAAGCATTGACAGAAATAGTCCACAAGGATTCACACAAGCAAAAATAAAAACACACATATGATATAAATGACTGCATCTCAAGGTCACATTCTGGGTCACTGATGTGGGTTATTATGGGATAGATGGATGCCTTCATTCAGTATATGGCCATGAATGTAAAGGCTTAATTAAGTTTCACGTTTCATTGCGTGTCAAGCAACTTGGACACTCTGCAATATCCTTCTTGTTCATTCCACAGAACAGATAAAGGTAACAGGTTTGAAACGTCATGAGAGCGAGTAAATGGTGACAGAACTTTCGTTTTTGGGTCATCTATCCCTTTAAGGGATTTTTTCGATGACACCAAAACCATTACCTTGCAGAGATCTAAAGGGAAGATGAGAGCGAGAGAGTGACTGCAGTCCTGAAACAATGACATGTTTTTGTACGTGGTTTAACTGCCGGAAGAGATGTGGTAGCCTGAACCTAAAGCTGTAAAGAAAGACAGACAGAAAGGCAAAGCAGCGACAAGGAGTAAATGAGATACAGCGATATCCATTTCTGATAAGACACATTTTCGACTAGTACTTCACAGGATATGACTCGCAAGTGTCAACAGGGTCCAAAATTAACTACAAACTGCACAATTCATATAGATGTATAAAAAAGTGATTCAGATGCAAAAGGGATAATGACCCTAAATCAGTGTTTCCCAACCTTTCTTTAGTCGCGGCACCCTTTGGAAATTTTAACAAATTTGTGGCACCCTACAAAATTAATTTTGTCACAATATTTGAATTTCTAACTTCGATATGATACTTTGAAAAGTATAGATATTCGGTACAGCAGGGAAGAACTGCAGAATATAATGTCATACAGATATTTTTAATATTATACAAAAAATGTGTCCATCAATGGTGGCAATCAGTAGGCTAATTTCTAACGAAGAGACCAATTTATATGACAGATTTTAACGTAGGCTTTTATTCATATGTAAACATTGTGAGATAGCTAGTTATAATGAAAATTAAACAAAGTTTTGCTTGTATTTTTGATTTTACAGCTGGGTAATTTTGTTGCAGTAGCACGAGATAGCTTGATTTAAAACTTTGAATTGAATAAAAAATGACAAGGAGGCTAAGCAGTTAATAATAAAATAAGAACAAATAAAGAAATTACTAATGATAGCACAAATAAAAAATAACGATAGGCCAACAAATGAAATAAATAGCTTTTTAGTTTTTCAGGTAGGTCTAACACACAGTAGGGCTATTAAGAGATTTTTTTTTACCAATTATCCAAATAATGTTTAATCCTAGAAAGCTATTATCATCAGAGGACACATGAGCATAACGGTTAGCAGATCAATGAATGAGAGGGCAGCGTTACCAGAGTTGCCCATTTACCACACCTTGTTACAGCACAGTAGGGCTATTGCAAACAGAAACAATACTGTACTACATCGATGTTTCCTGTCAGCTTGATTTCTGAGTGGACTTTGCTGTTCCGATGAGCATGAACGGTATACGAGTGGAGCACTCACATGGGCCGCGAGCGACTGAGCGGAGCACACACGCATCAGAAATTGATATTATATATGCGCTGCTTTTTTGAACATTTTAGCAATTTAAAAATATTTTACAAATCTTTTTTTTACACAGCACCCCTGCTCTCAACAGACGGCACCCCAGTTGGGAAACACTGCCCTAAACCATTATGTTTTGATTTGTGTAAAAAAATAAAAAGTTTCCATCCTGATTACCAAGGTAGAGCCTTTTTATTTATTTTCTTTCAAATTATGTGCTTTCCATTTAAAATGTTCTGTGTTCCATGTTAATGATTTAATTACGTTTTAATAATCAAAAATCATATCTAATCAACAGAAATTTTACAACTGTAACAATTAATCTTTTAAAACAACATTAAATGAAAATTAAACTAGGCTATTCCTTTTTGGTAAAGTGCTGCACAACAGAAGTTTACTGTTTAAATTAAACACGGACAAAAATTATGACATTTCTTACAAAAAAAAAGTCTAGATAAATTCTATTTTTATTATTTTGTCTACAATTTTGAGAAATGCATACTAGAGCACAATAGTGATATATTTCTGTCATAATTTCTTCAAGTAAATCAAACTTTTATTTTGACAGGTTTAAGTGAACACCTTTCGAGAGTTTCTGTGATGATAGTTTTCTCAAACGAAATGGTGAAATGCTGGTGAAGTGACTCTCAGAGCAGCTCTGGAGATGAAGTTTATGTGTTCATGTCCTCATATAGTGAGCCGGCAGACACTGAAACCATGAGAGTCACGCGTGCTTCAGTATACTGTGCTTGATTCACACACTAGTCCATATTGCACTTTTGATTTATTCATCCAAAACACTCCAAATTGGATGATATTAGTAAATTCCATTTTGCGATTCCATCTTCATTTTCTGTATCATGGAAATCATATGGTGGTACTAGGATCTTGTTGACTCATGTCGTCTCGGTCTGGTTTTCTCATCACACACTCAATGAAAGCAGTCAGACAATACGCCCCATAAAAAGGCTATTCTGACCACCCACAGTTCAGACACGCATTCTCTCTCAAGATTTCAGCTGTAAACTATTCACTTAAAGAGGTCATATGATGCTGCTAAAAAGAACATTATTTTGTGTATTCTGTGTAATGAAATGTGTTTATGTGGTTTATGGTTCAAAAAACACATTATTTTCCACATACTGTACATTATTGTTTCTCCTCTATGTCCCGCCTTTCTGAAACATGTCGATTTTTATAAAGCTCATCGTTCTGAAAAAGCAAGGTGTGCTCTGATTGGCCAGCTATCCAGTGCGTTGTGATTGGCCGAATACCTCAAGTGTGTGACGGAAATGTTACGCCCCTTACCATACTGTGATGCCCTGTCCAGCCGGAGCGTAACATAAAACCATGTCTGCATTTGTGATCGGAGAAATGACAAACAACAAGTGCTGCTCTACACTGCCGCGGCTGGCGGATTCGACGAAGGAGCGGCAGGTGGGCTTGCGGCAACCACATGTGACGACCCCAGGCTGGACTCCGCTTCGTCCACGGTGAAAGCCGATCCGGCGATCCACAGCACAAAGTTGATGTATTTCCTCAGCGATCAGCACGGGATCAGCTCCAGGAATGACGAAGTGGATATCGTCCTCTTTTGGAAGGCCAAACAAAGAAGTTTCGCTTTCACAACGAAACACATAGCGTCTCCACGACATGGCGGCGGCAGCAACAATACTACAGCAAGAATCAAAGTTATGCCTTCTTTCTT